GCAGCTGGCTTGCAATGAATTAAAGACTCATTAAAGACATTCAACATCAGGCTAACAAGCAAGACTTTGGATGCTGGAAGTTACGCAAGTATAGCTCTAAAACACATTTAAACGAATCGAAATAGAGTGTATAGCAAATTATTCCAAGAACGGTATACCTATTATAAATTTATAGACTTTTGAGATGTGGGGTGCACCCCTATTTGGAGCTCTGTAGCTTTTGTTTTCTTCTTAGCGATGTTGGATGACGATCCTCTCTGATTGTGGGGTAGTGACCAGATGTGGTCAGATTCATTCAGTGGTTTGCTGGACGTGGAGGTGCTATTGGACCTAAATCGGAGGGTCACGCCTGCACTGGTCGAACTGCGCTTGAAATTCCACGGAATGCAAGACTTTGGGGTTGCAAAACTCGACAGTGACAATAGTGGCGAGTTGTTTTTTCGCGAAAGGTAGCACTAGCTGACTCATTGGGTTGGCGGGGCTGCCTAGTGCACACTTGCAGTGCAGGGGTGTGGGAATAGTCAGTCACTGAATTCCGAAATATGTGGGCACTAAGAGCCTTGCCACGTCAAATATGTTTGCTCGTTGTGAGTTTGAGAATTTAATGTAAAGTGTTTCATTCAGGTTCACAAATTCACTTTTTAGAATTAGAGGAAAAAGGTCGGTTCAGAACAGCCAAGATTGGGAATGGCAGCACCAGTTACACCAGTTGAGGTTTCGAGTTTGCCGTCTTCCTGGAGAATGTGTCTTGGCAGCCAGCAGGGGACCTCACCATGCGCCCTAACACCACAATCCCGGCAGTCCAGTCAGACCCAGTCACTCCTGTATACCTCATTGAGCAGTGTATGATGAACTGATTTGTAAATTGAGGTCAAGCCGACCCGTAGGGCCATGATCCCTCCCATCCCATCTCCCATCCCATCCAATTTCTGCACCACCTGTCCAGCCGCCCTGTCCAGCCGTCCGGGCCGCCCTGTCCAGCCCACCCGGACCTCCCCAAGGATCTCTTAGTGGCACCGGACTTCTTGTGGCTCTTCCGCGCTTCGGCGTGGCTCCTAACCGCGGACCCCTCCCTCTTCTGCGTCTCCGCGTGGAACGACAACGGCTTCAGCGACGCCGCGCTGCTCCGCGCGGAGCTCAACGCCACGCGGCTCTTTCGCACGGACTACTTCCCAGGCTTGGGCTGGATGATCCAGAACACGCGACTTGGACGCAGTTGACTCGGATCATGAGGAAATCGCATGGGTGAGAATGTCTCGATCTATGCTTCATTTGGGTTGGTGCGGCAACAAATGGAAGGAGTCTATATTACGCGTATGATCCGTATTGTTTTCTTTCCCCGTTTTGCCTTCAACGTGCACCCCTCACATTTCAATGAAGCACGAACTCAATGGCCTCTATAGCCTTGCAGGCTTCGTTTTCAGCCCGCATCGTGAATGGGATCTAGGTTTTGAGCACTGCAAACAGCGAGCAGGGATTCAACACGAGACACATATGCGATTCAACCACCAAGTCCTCAACAATCCAACGAACCTTTTGAACTTGAAATATGGGACAATCCTGACAAACCCATCTCAAAACGATCTTAAACTTCTCTATCAACTCATCAACCAATATATTAATTAATATAACCCATCTCCCAAATAAACCAAATTCCGTCTCACAGCATCCGTTTTCATCTTCCTTCATCTCCGTAAGGACCTGGTTTTCTCTGCGTCCTAGCTGGCCTCGTTATCCCAGCACCGGCTGGGACCATTGGCTGCGCCATGGCGGCCGCCAGCAGCTCGAGCTCGCCGCGAGCGCCGAGTCCGGCGGCTCCGGCGCTGCGCGTGAGTGCGTGGCGCCTGAGGTGTCCAGGACGCACCACTTCGACCAACGAGGGACCAACGTGAAGGCGGTCGGGAGCGTGGTGGGAGTCGGTGGTGTCGGGAGCTTGAGGTGGTGGGGTGGGACGTCGGTGGAGCATCCCGAAAAAGGGAATGGGCACGGGAATGTGTTCTTCTTTGCGAAGCGGTTCAGGGGGACGGAACATTTTTCGAGAAAGGGTGTATAGGGGTGTTTAGTTAACCAGGGATGGGACTTCGATCCAGCTATATATACTGTACATCCTTTGAGGACCTGGCATTTCGGAAAGCCCTCCGATGTTTTTCCAGATTGGAGAGCTCCCTAAGCTTTTGAGGAATCAGTGCACCCAACTGGTGTGCCTCGTCGTGGGGACCACTTTCACTTGCTCGTCGTCTTTTCTTCTCCGCTTCTACTCACGTTGTAGCGGATTTGGAATCCAAAGGCCAGGTTTAACTAGTGTGTTAGCGTAAAGGGACGCATTTTAAACCCTATGTTCAAGGGCTTTTCACGGGTTAAAAAGACGTCCTGTTCAAGCTTCCAGCTTCCGTTTTGCTAAAGCACTGGTTAAACTGGTGTATTACTGAAGAACTGGTTAAACTGGTGCGTTGGCCCACGGTCTTTTTCTGAGTGAGAAGGCATCCGCAGTGGCCGCGTGGGTTGGAGTTTCTTCTGCAAGAACGGGTCTGCTTGGGCAAGCTCGCAAGGAGCCCCCCAGAAGCATACTCTGGATCGAATACCAGATGTTATGTTGAGTCTGGCCTACAAAAGCGTTTTAAAGCATCCATGGGTCAAGATTTGAGGTTCCTCTGCCAAAGATGCTGAGTATGGTTAAGTGATGTTAAGTGAGTTCTCGTGCTTTGTGGATCGATTTAACGCCTTGCTGCATCTGCATCCCCTGTCCACTGAAGAATTCAAAATAAGTTTGACCAGCTCTCAAAAAGCTCGCTGTGTCTGTCACAGGCAGGCGGGATAATCCTTTTTCAGGAAAGACACTATAAGACCACGGATGAAAGCGAGGCCTCTTCGCCTGTCTCGCCGTCTTTTTTCCACTTTTCCGCGCGGTCCACGTGGTGAGGTGGGCACCCCCATGGCGAAGAAGCTGAGCAAGATGGCCTTCAGCACCGCGAAGCCACATGAGTTGGGAGAGCCCTGGTGGTTCAGCAGACTACCAGCACCGAACCCAACAGGTCTCCGATGGCTGGAGGGTTGTGAAAGGCCCTAACAGGTTTCAATTGGTGACCTGTTGGTCGTCGGTGCTGGTAGAAGTAGTTGATCCAAAAACGTGCGGCCGTGACCCGATCTTTTTGGAGAGGCGATCACATCAATCGCCTCTCCAGCCGGAGCGTGATTTCCGATTCGATGTCCGGAGCGCCGAAGGCCGTGTCGGCGACGCTGGGAGAATCGATCGATGGAGGCGATCGACCCTTTCAGGTTGCATGAGAGCGTTCAGTTGGGCACAGCTGTGACCGATCAAGAAGGATTTCTTGAACAGGCATCCAATTTGGACCCAGCCGCTCCTCCGTTTTCCTCACGGAGAACAACTCAGCCACCTAAGGACCTGTCTTACTTGTTGAAGGAGAACTATCAGGACCTCTTGCACGAACTGCTGCGGAAGGCGATCTTAGCACCTCGGTGGCCTCGGTGGCCTCGGTCGGCGGCTGGGGCGGATGCGTCGCATGGCCGTGGAGCCTTCGAGTCCGGACGACCTGCAAGGGACGACCGGGATGGACCCCTTCCGAGTGCCGTGCCGTGCCGAGGTCTCGGCGGAGCAGGTGGAGCACTTGGAGCCGATGAAGGCCTACCTGGTCCCCTTCGTGCGGCGCGACTACAAGACCCTGGGCGGCACCGGGTCAGGCGACGGAAGACGGTGACCGTGGTGATTCAGGTGGATCGGTGGACGGAAATCCGCCCAGGCTGGCTTGAAGCAGCATGTATTTAGTGGTTGATGGTGTGGACTCCCAAATCAACAACAAACCCTATGAACCAAAGTACTCGTTAAACTGGTCCTTAACTAAAGGACTACTATTACTTTTCGAAAGAACGTACTTTACTTTGTCTAATCACGACTCTATTAACATGCTAGCACAGGATTTGCATGAGTGTTCATTCGTTTTGCAGGTGGTCAGGGCATGTTCAAGCTGCAAAAATGCAGCTGGTCGGCATCATGCATGTCCGACATATGAAAGACATGCATGGATAGAAGGATCCATTGATAAACATGGATAGATCACTGATCACATGGCTAGATTCCATGAATGTAGTAGACATCATAGCACCACATCCCCGCCCTTCGATGCCCTGTCGTTTTGGCCTCGCACATGGATGAAACGTGCGCTTCGGAAGAGACTCTCGGCTAGTATCTGGTGACAAAGCTACGTGTTTTGAGGGCTTTTGGGGGTGGATTGCCAGCACTTCCCCGCAACAAGGAGCCTACGAGAAGAGAGTGGAGGAATCGTCTGATGAAGAAGGTGCCTTTGGCATGGATTTGGGGACGACTCGTGGGTGCAACACGTTCCCTACAAGTCCAAAGACCCAGTAAAACCTCCTTTAAAATATTTGGTTTTGTGTGACCATCCCCAGTAAGGTCTTTGACTTGTAGGGACGTTGGATTGGACGATGTATGTTCGCAGGCTACGGCTCGTGTGAGCGGTTCATTAATCATGATCATGAGATATCATGAGACATCATGAGACTATATATGCTAGTTGGCTGGCCCCAAGTAGGCCCTAGTGCACTTACAGCTGGAATTCCCGCAGCTGTGGTGGGTAGGATGCCCTCCTCGTCAGATCAGACGTCCTCAGAACTCTTGGGGGGGTTGTTCCTTCATCCAAAATGTGAAGTACCATGTCCCACAATGGCAATTTCCTACAACTAGCTGGTGTCCTTTGGATTGCTGCCATGCCTGATTCCCGACCGCGGGATGCAGTGGTGGATGTGCTGAAGGCTCGCTTTTTCATTGGCCTTTATGTCACTTCAATAATATTCAAAAATTTGGTGCTTGAAATCATGATCCCTTTTTTATTGGGGTTCCTTCTGGCACAATACCCCCAACACATGCACAGGAATTCTATAGAGATCGACTCGCTGATGGCTGGAAATGGATTCGGGTGGAGCGCCTTTGCAAAGAGAACAACATCCCGAACTATCGAATGATGCGTGACTTGAAGAAACATCGTGCAACTGGGCCCAAACTTATTTGGGATCTTGGGCTTGTTTGGACGTCCCAGGCATGCATGCTAGGGGCTCCTGGCATCGCTACTAGGGGCTGAAGGACGCTACTAGGGGCTCCTGGCATCGCTGCTAGGGGCTGAAGGACATTACTAGGTGCTCCAGTCATCGCTACTAGGGGCTGAAGGTCGCTACTAGGGGCTCCTGGCATTGCTACTAGGGGCTGAAGTGGGATCTTGGGCTTGTTTGGACGTCCCACCACTGCTGTCCCACCACCCACCACTGCGAGGAAGCCCGCTCACCTGCGCAGTGTGCAAGGGACACCGGTCTTCACTAGGGGCAGGTTAGGAAGAGGATCTGGTTTTTTCCGGCAGGTTGCACCAATTTCTAGCTGACCTGGACTTCATGAGCTGAACAATTTGTTTCAGCTGTTCCCAAAAGGATCAAAAGGGGTCACCTGGTCAAGGGATGGAATCCACCTGGACTTCATGAGCTGAAAAAATTTCAGCTGTTCCCAATTTGGGGGAGGGCGTATTCCGAAAGGGGTCACCTGGCCAACGAACCTGTTCGAAAATTCTGCTGCTAAGATGCCATGCACTTTCAGCTTCGTTGATGTGGACAAGAAGGGCGTCACTGGAAAGGGGCTGAGGGGCGACACCAACTTCATGTTCTTGCTGGACTGGCTGGGTGTCTTCGGCTTCAGCAGAACCACTTCCAAAGAGGTGTCGGTTCCATGGATCAATTCAGGGAGGGGTTTTTGCATTGGCACGGGCCGCGGGCCGGCTTGCACCGACAGAGGGTCAACGAATTTAAAGCCACTTTGGACTGTACATGCAGACCATTTCCACAAAGGACTCCAGGACACATGACAACCAATATGACCATCGACCACAAAGAACTCCAGGAC